ATAAAAGGACTCATCGCCATTTTGAAAAGATCCGAAAAAGGCAGGACGTAAAATAGCGGAGCGCGATGAATGGAGATATGTATATCAACCGGCTTGTTTAATTGACCTAGCAAAACAGGCACTTCGCATGTCATATCATGGAATTATTTGGTAAAATGATCATTTTAAAATACGGCAAAACGTGTGAGAACGCTTTGACTATATGTTCCATGCCACCGCGCTACGAATCCAAATTGAAGATACTCCCCTACTGCAGCTAATGACTATGGTGCTATCCTCTGATATACATAACGTTAATGGAACGTAGGACGTACGGAATTTAACAGAAGTTGAACGCTCCGTAATTTCTCATAGTTGATTACGACTAGAATAGGAAACAACAAAGCAATCAGCTGTTCACACCTCGAACCGTTTTGGCTGCGTCGGCATCACCAAATCAAGGGCTTGTCATTAACTTCTCGACTACTAAGCGCAAACGGTTCAGGTAGAAGAGGAAGCCCAAAAGCTCCAGTCGGCGACCCAAACGCTATCACGAGACAGAATCGCTAACAAACAACAAGCCAAAAGCTTTTTCGCAGCGAACTGACAGGCTTCACAGCTAATGACATTTCAATATCTACCAGGACGGCTGCTATCCTCTCAGCAGCTGATATCAGCTGTCCGTCGGCTTTTGTATAAAGCAACGATAACATCAAGTAGCGGAATAGCGGAGGCAGCGGTAACGCTGACTGAGAGAATCGGACGAGGACGCGTATCAACAAGCTGATCGTATCACTGATCGGACATTCATGATCTGAAGTGACGGATCATCGACGTATGTGTACTCTCGTCGCATACGTCTGCAAACAGAAGCTGAGTATTTGGATTAATAGCTTTTCTTATCCGCAAGCCGCATATCTGTCAATTGTAGTAGTAACAGCTGAAGAGGCGTGCGTGTGCCACCAGAATGCGACCCCTGGGTTCGGTGATCATTTGAGCACGTTATAGTGAACTGCTACGCAATTCTCATTGTGTACGGCCGCCCCATTCTAGGTCAAGTATTCGTTGAGGTCTTCAGCGTATGTCCTGCAGCCGTTGTTTTAGTTGCGGTGGCGACGGTAGCTAATAGCTCATCATCATCATCGCCGTCACAGCCAACACTGTGTCATTTCACTATTCACTAAAGAACAAAAACGTCGTTGCAGGATAGAGAGAACATTTTGCTTAAAACTACAAAATGATTTTGTCAAATGAGAATCACACCGATGACGACGGCGGCGGTGACGGTGATATACTGGCGGTCGCTAGGTGATACTGAGTTCCATTTAGGCAGACGCAGCTGCAGATATAGGCTAATGCCAAGTATGACAGTCGAAAATGTCCAGCAATCACCGATCCATCCAAACTAATGGAGATAATAACATCACAATAGATAGAATTATATTCTTATAGGAGCAATAGACGGGACTGCTCTGGAGCAAATGGCAAACAAGTTAACTGACAACGAAGGGGCACGACCGCAACCGGGAAAGCCTCTTTGCTCAAACATAGTAGGATATTAGGAATTATTGTCTGTTGTAAAAACATTAACAAGCTCTTTTTTTTTGACCAACTTATAATACCAGAAAGACGTAAAAAGACAGATATACAAGTCAATAGGTATGAACTAGTAAGCACGTGGGCAGGAAACGTGTTTTCATTTCAGCCTTGCGTTCTTGGTATTCTATGGGGAGGCCATTTCGATTGTTCAACAAAAATTTCTTGACCAGTTTTCCATGTAGCCTTATTGAATAAAAACGCTACTATTACTTTTAGTGTTTTCGGTCCTTACCTGTACCAGATATGTTCATGATAATTGTTGAGACGACGAAAGAGCTAGCAACTAGATTGCAATTGATAGATACTGGCCATAGAAACTTATGTACACCACAAGATTTCCTCTTCTGTTCTATTCAGTTGATTTTCTCTTTTAAACTTTATGTTCTCTTAACAGAAAAACAATCATATGCATGCACATGTGCAGTTGTGAAAGACGAAGCTAAGAAGCACACGTTAGAAGCTGCTTCAACGAATGACTTCAGAGGGACAAGGGACGGTCCACTGAACCAACCGTTCCGTGACAGTAGGGTAGGAACATTAAAAGGAAGAGCCAAAGAATAAATGCCATGATACGATCAGCTATCAAATGCGAGACAGACACACTATTGGTTATCTGACTGGAAACAGCAGCTGTTATTATTGCCGGCCACCTGCACATAAAGACGCATGTAAAAGACAACATTTCTCAGCGTATTTCTATTCTCAGAAATATGTCAATTGCGTTTTTGTTGCCGTTGTTAGTCCTAGTTGATGCTATTGTTATCGCAGTTACTGCTGCCGTAAACGCAATGGTATCACGCAAAGCGTCCGGTAGCACCCGAACTGGCATCGACTGCATCCGCGAAACTAGATATATATATATATATATATATATGTATTTAGTTTCACGGATATATATGCGCAATCACTATGGGCCTCATCTGACTTGGCAAACACACGCACACATCTAACCGGCCGCAATACATTAAAAAAACGATTTCTATCGATCTACATTAAAGCATCTCCTCCAACAGGCAGTCGCCGACCGACCGGCCGAGCCACCGGCCGGTCAAACGATGTAAGGGGATCAGTAACAGCGAAAACAAAATAAAAGTTATTAGTGGGAACGGAATAGTGCAAGTTACCGTGGTGCCGGTGCAGTAAATATTATTATCGGTTTGACAACGGCAAAATGCTCTGTACGGCTTCAAAGGACATTTTGGCAAGGAGCGATAGAATAATGAAGGAAAGTATCTCCAAAGTTATGGTCTGAACCGTCACCTCGATATGAGAAACAATGCTGACGTGTCCTATTGGACGTGTATATTATCACTGTGGCGTTACTGTAGACCGACCGGCCTTGTGTTTAAACGAGAGACGCATCTGGATAGGATCAATCGCATGATCGTTCCGACAAAAACGAATAATAAAGCTATTTCGATAGATATACAAACAATATCGATTTTGATGATCGTTGATACATTCACTCGTTGATCACTGTCCGCGAAGTAGCGAGTGGTACTAGAGCAGCAGAATTTAACTGAATGTCAGCCACCGCAGAGGCAATTAAATATTATACTCTTGAGATTTACTCCATAACAGAATTTCCATCAAAAGCGAGTGATCCTTCTAGCGAAATCTATGTATATAAATAAATATAAAAATATATAAATAATATAAAATACTGTTCTGCAGCGTCGAACTGCGAGAGTACTATTAGCGATGTAACGTCATGTTACCGTGTTCACGCCTATTTCTATCGTTGTTCGAGATTAATACATCGAGTAACTGGGAGACATAGTATGGCGTGGCGTCAAATAAATAGAATTAGAATGCGGAAAGCTGTCCGAAAAAAACCTCAGGACAAGAAAGAGTAGACTTGCTTCTAGAAAAGGAATACATCTTCTTAATTGATATAGGTCCTTTCGCAACTGTAAGGTCGTCTTTGTTCTATCTTGTATTTACATCCACAAATGACGGGCCTAATGCAAGAATTACACTTACGAAGTTCACTGATCAGATCGTTTATTGACCTACTATATGAAGCTCACTATTTGCATTTGAAAGGGGAAATTCTGTTGAAACTAATCACTCATGGGCAGTATTCCGTCGTAGTACGTCATTTTCGTGCGGTCAGGTCGTGTAAGGCTGATATAGCGTCAGTAAGATGGGCTCGCAAATTATTTAATGGAAATGCTAAAAATATATCTACATTATTCATCAATATATATGAATTGAACTTTTGGTCTTCCCGTGTCTTTAATCATAGTCTATCTAGCGGTTTAAATGCGTCTATCCCCGCGACTACCCCTGGTTTTGTTGGATAACTAATCATCTGCTTTGAATAGCCGCTTCCATATGGCTCCCCTAGTCTACAAAAATGACGCTGACGCTTTTCGGCTGAATCCGCATTCTGAAAATTTTTCTGGCTTAAAAGTAGATACTCTTATGCGCAATCTAATATACGCATCATTTTCTGAAAATCGAGGGGTCCACAGTCCTTCTGTTCGAATAGGGGCAAAGTTGCTAACAGAAAACGTGACGATCAAAAATGGCCCATCTTTGTCATTAAGTTCGCAGTTGAGCTATAATAATAGTAATATTACGGACAATATATAGATTTGATTATCGAATGAGAAAAAACCAAATCAATAGAACTGAGCAGCAGACCATTACGGAACAATTTAACGACATCACCAACACACGATACACCTACCACGTTCCGCTCGCAGAGTTTCTACTGTGTCGGCCAAATGACAAACCGATTTCAATCGATATCAGACGAGTATATTGTCATCATTGGATCTGGCGCGTTTCGGTCTGGTATATCAACGATGTAACGTGACAGTAGCTTGAGAAGAAGGTAAAAAGGGTCAATCGTGTGCGCGGGCAATTTGAAAACGAGTAGACAAGACGATTGGAAAAGGAGGTATAAATGCCTCGTAAGCGAAAAATACCCCCAGTGATAAACATCGAACCGCAGCTAAACGCAGGTCGATGCTGGACAAACATGGCCTTAGAGAGAGAGAGAGAGAGAGAGAGAAAGAGAGAGAAGCAATTTGATCACACATGAAACCCCGCAGCCATCGGAGAACAATCTGTCAAGTAGATCTCCAGGTTAACAATTGGGATAACATTGTAGCCATGGGTAGACGATTACGAAGAACACCGAAAATGATAACAGTAACAAAACAGGATAATAGATTAGGAAAGCAATGCTGCTACTAATAATAATAACAATAGCAAACAAAAAAATTGCTGAAAAATTGGGAAAACATAAAATTCAGTTGATACCTCTCGTTCGAAAACGCTTTAGAACTGTCGTTCACAGTAGTAGAAGGTTACGACTTAGGCGTGACCGGATTTACAACGTCAAGCTGCTATATTCGACTAATAAACAGTAACGAATATATTCTACGCAGTGATGCTTCGAGACTTCTTACCTGAATTACTTTATCTAAGGTTAGGCCGTCATTCTCGGCATCCGGGCTTCCGCTTCGCGTTTCGTCGTCCAATTCTACATCGTGGATGCCTACAATTGCAACGGGTTAATAGCAATATTAGTAATTATAGTGAGATAAAGAATAAATCTATATAACAGAAAAAAACATTATATATTTACTACTCCTACTACATTTTGCCCTGTTCGACTTTCACATTACCACCACTGATCAGCGACAGTGAGCTGCTTTAAAAATCCATAGACACTACACACAGATATGTTAATATCATACGGCATATTTGACCGGTATATCAACGTGGTAAATGCGTTCAGGGGAGGGGTTACTACAGACAACAGAGCGCTCTGATAGACTTGTACTAAGACGGAGTTGTAGACACAACAGAGGCATAAAACTTACATTTTCCATTGTAATTTGCTCAACCGGTTGAAACAAAGGTTTTATCCCAACGAGGTCGAAAAAGTTCAGATAAACTAAGAAAAATCATGGGCTAGGGGCGGCGGGTAAACGACGAATGAAGCTGGCCAAGCAAGAAAGCGAACTCAGTCAATTTCATCAGAAGGAGAAGCCAGCAGCAAGCTCTGCCTGCAGCAGCAACCCAAACGAAAAGGAGGTACTGTACGTCGCTTAGCTCCAGTGCAGACCGTTGCCTGCCTGGACGCCGTAAACGTCCGAGCCCAAAGTCATGCTCATGCTGTTTCTGAAAGCAGTCGTTTGACCCCATGAGCAGTAACATTGCCAATGAGGCTTTATTATTTTGCCCAGTGGTTTTTTGCTGGCCGACCGCTTCCCAAGCCGCCAGCCATCATCTAGTTAGGAGCCAAAAGCGTCACGCCGAACGGCGAACTTTCGATGCGACCAACTAGACCAAATGTCGTGTTGTTTTGAACACTCGTATCTATTTTCTATCATCAGTCCATGCAGCACAAGTTCGTCTGGTAACTAAACCCAGCACGAATAGGTAACAGGGAGCACCGTCGCAGCATAGACTAACTATATCTTTCGCTACATTTGGCCGTATCGTTGACAAGGTGAGCTTGTATTAGTTGACGGTCACTGGATTTACCCGTGCCACTGCTGGGTACAGCTGCGACGACGCTTAGGTCTATAATGCGTATACGTATGGTTGTACTCTTCGTGGACGATACAGGTGACGACCGGTCGGATGACGGACGTCAGAATGGAAAAAAAAAGGAATTGTAAAACCGCGATGGTCACTTGCGGAGTGCTGACAGCATATCAAGCACTACTTGCTCTCGGGCGTCTGCTGTTAACCCAGATGCGCCTTAGGGCTGTTATTGTTGGATTTTTGTTTATTTTACGGATCATCATCATTAGTAAGATAGTTTTAACGGTAAAAAATCAATAGCGATACTGATGCATACAGACACGTTAATTTTACGTTGCATAATAAATGGCTAGTGCAAGAAGATATGAATTTTCTGTGATAAGTATTTCGCTTACACGAATCGCATGTCATCAGCGCTTGAAGTGTGTAAAAATCTATAAAGTTACTCTGTGTTTTGGCTCGAAAATGCACAATTACTTGAGCCTTTACTAATATATGACCGTAATAGGTTATACTGATTATTCTTTTTATGATTTCTCTTCCATGTATCCAGAAATCCCAAAACTATCCATAAAAGTCTAGTGGCCATGCGTTAAAATCAGTCCCTTCGAACAGCCCTGATATCAGAGATGATATTAGAAACTGTTCGTTTTTATGTTGAATTCAATCTTTATTAAATCGTATAATCTATCGTATCTAACAGAGGTGGATACGAACGAATTATATATATACATTTGAAAAGCTAAAAGTACCACGGTGACTATTTTCAACGAAACAAAAAAGGTTTAAACTCATCACTTAACCACCGTTGTTAAAATACTATCTTTTTGCTATTTCTAACTCATCCGTTTTCTGCAGAATCGCAAAATACTGCTACCTATGCTGTTGCATCCTTCTTTAGACAAGCTACAGATGAAATACGTCAGCTCCTTTAGATAAGCTTGACGGCATTTTACCAGAAAGAGGCTTATACAGTGATGTAACAATCTGAGTGTAACGATATTGTACGCCATAACACTAGCTGTTCGAGTTTATTATTGGGGGAAATAAGAGGGCCACAGAGGAAAAATGTATATATTCAGGGGGTTATGTTTGACCTTCGAATATCAGACGGCGATTGTTAAGGTCAATTGATCGTCTGAACTGATAAGACAATATGTGAAGTACCGTACTGTATTGACCATTTATTTCAGTTGGTATTTTGTGAATCGTAACGTCTCGTGCAAAACAAATGGCGCCGCTGGAAAGCAGAGGCAGACGAATGTGGAGGAAACGACGGAAATTTGCATACGTCTCCAGACAGACAGCGTACATATTGTCTTGTAGTGCTCATTGACAACGATATCGCGCGCACGTTTATATATAAAGCGTGGTCGAGAAATAAGATTACGCGCATATCGTCACTGCACCATGATCGACGATGGCGCGTCACGCAAGATCATCATTATCATCATCGAGGCCACAATGGTAACGATGGTGATGGTGGTTTTGCGAAAGCCTCTCGTGCAAACTCAAGAATTTTGACACATCGAATTTACATAATGACATACTGGATTGGACGAGTTCAACCGGCGCGCAAAAAAACGCTAAGGCACGTATTTAGCGGCTTCAAGCGCTCTCTCTTTTTTTTTTTTTAAAAGAATAGATATTCAAATGAAAACTTTAGAATAATACGTTGAATATCACAAAAACAGCACAAGCGTATACTAAAAGAAAACAGATACCTATGCACTACAGAAATTTCAGATCGAAAAGCTTTATTACAACTATAGCGAGAAAAAATCATGTACACTATGTCACACAGACGTTTAACGTTGTTTTTATGGGAAACTGCAAGCGTTTCATTATGCGGCACTTTAGCGTCATCAAAAGTTTACGTTTATATTACGATAATTATATTTTTTATTTATTATATATATATATATATATATATATATTGATTTACTAGACAGAGCTTCGTTTAGGTTTACAGTATCTGAATAATACCATCATACTAGCTTTACTCGACAATGAACATAAACGGTTGCGGTGGCTACAAGAAAAATGTACACCCATTTTATAGAACAACGCAATGCATAGAATTACAGTTTTTTTTTTAAATTTTTGTAATAGTATTATCAGTTAGTAGTTAGGTAAAAATTGTCAAAAAAACCTTGATCTACGCCGCGCATTTTTAAAATTGTATCTAACTACGCTAATGATTTTCAGCGTCACCACCAGAGCAGATCAACGCGACGCGATCGACAACCACAATAATCAGCTGACGCCGTGGTGGCATGAAGATATAATCCAATGAGCAGTATTGTCGTGTCCGCAGTAGAATACTCGATGAACAAAACAAAAAATAGCCAGCGTCAATAGTGACAATTGCAACGACGGCGTCATTGTCAGCAGGGGATAATTTTGTACTTATTCTGGCGTTTTCATCAATGGTTACTTGTTCATGGTGAGCCAATAACACTCCCGATGGCTTAGATGGCTGTATTGTTCCATATTTGCGCTATTCAAGGTGAATCATAGCAGATCGCGACTGATTGACAAGCTCGATGTAGCAATCCGTTGTTGAAGCGTACGGTAGTAAAAACGGCTATGCAAATGATTGTGTAAGAGTATTCCGCGTCTCTTTGTCTATGTGTGTGTGTGTGTGTGTGTGTGTGTGTGTGTGTGTGTGTGTGTGTGTGTGTGTGTGTATCTGTTTTGCGCAATGAAAAAACTACAGCAGAACGAAAAACCGTGTGACAGCAGAAGTAGTAAGGCCATAGTCAACTTTCTCCATATAACAGAAACGCAACTATTACTCAATCAATCATCACCTTTGAACAATCGACAGCTAAACATTTGCCACAAGCTGATTTTTTTCCAAGCACGAACCTAGCCGTCAGCATGACGCCGTCAGCATGACTCCGTCAGAGTTGAATTCGTGATTTTACGGACGTGACTGCATTCACGTAAACGTATGTACGTTATTTTGACTTTATTTAGCAACAACAGGCTAAGTAATCATACAGGACTTTAACAAAGTTTTGGTAAGTTGATGAATTGATACAAACGGAATCTGTGCAGAGACACGAATGTTTATAATATAGATTACCTTATCATGTGTAAAAACAAGCGCAATCAGATTTTTGCATATGATGACACCGAAGAGCCCTCTGGCTGCTGGAGACTTGGATAGATGTTGCAATGAGGCCGTTGATAAACACATCAATACAGGGCATATTACCCGCATAGTGAAGCCACGTTAAGCCGGACTGGCCATTTCTCTTACTTAGCCTGCTCTCACAAAAGTTCTTTTATGCAACACTGGGTTACTAAAAGCTACAATAACTTCCCACGCTAGATCGGTGCAAAACTTTCGCGAAATTCAATATTCTCTTCTCTTATCGTCATCCTAACAGATCCTCATCGTCAGTGTCAGCCCCATGAGCACTGAGTGGCGTCATTCATTGGTCTCTATCGGCTTGATGTTGGCATATTGGTGTCGGACGACCTGGTAACGGGGGCGGCGACCGCAGCTTGAAATAGCACAACAACTACAGAATCCGCTTAAGCACACGCATACATTATTCAAATGACACATTGCGCACATATACGGGAGTACATATACATACGTCCCCTTATGCCACTATCGACCGCTGGCGGGGCGTTCATCAAATATTAGCCCCGCTTTCTCTCCGTAGGCGGAACTCATCAAATAAGTTGCAATAGTTGTAAGATATAATCACAGTGTGCAAGAACAAAAACTGATCAACCAACGTTCGGCCGGCCGAAAAGGGAGATGCGCTGGGGCCCTTCGTTTTTTTTTGGCAAGGCAACGATAAGCGGCTTCACAAAACTTACAGTGGCTGGTAACATCAAGTTCGTGTCATAATAATATACTAATCATATGCTCATTGATATAGATGGTACTTGGGTTCGAAAATACCACTGCGCTAGCAGGCCTGTATTAGTCACTCAACACGCAGCAATGCATGCTTGATTGTTTTTAATATAGTGAGCGCGAGAGATCCCATTGTACTATGTCATGCAATAGAAGACGCTTAACCCTATATGCATTCAACGGAAATTAGCTGAGATTTTCGCCGTACTTCCAACTTCGCACGCTAGCATATGTACTATACACCTGATTATATAAAAAAATTCGCTTCCCAAAAACTGAAAGGTAGTACAAACGCCTAATAATAAGTGAAAGTGCAATACAATTAGTCACAAAATCACACTATATATAACACAAGTGTCTGTTGATTCCATTGCATTTCTCAGAAAAGTAGCGAAAATAAACAGTCGCATCTTACACTATGCAGAAGTATAGAGCAAAGAATAGCCAAATTCAATACGGACCCTCGTCGTAGGCGCCTTCACTGTCGGCGGCCGAGTTCCTCCCTCCGCCTTCGGAATCATCGTCTTCATCCCGGCGGAAAAGTGCCGCTCTCCCAGCGGGTTCCACCCCGCCGAGCCGCCCGTGTGGATGATGATGAGTGTCGTGAGGCCCCGTCGCCTGGCTGAGACTATTCCCGTGGGTGCTACCTCGATGGGCACCGGACGTCGTCGTGGTGCCTGTAGTAGTCGAATGGAGATCGTGAGGTTCACCGTCGCCTGCTGAGGTCATCTTGTCCAATAGTAGATCCATCGCAGGGCTTAAAGAGCGTTGCTCGTCCGGGCCCAGCCGGAAATCCAGAGCTCGAAAAAGTACAACACCGACACTCTGGACCAGCTGCAAAAATCATCATCATCAGAATCACAAGATTTTTAGCTTTTATCGCTAACAGTACCGTTAAAAAGCTTCGTAAACACAGCAGTACCAATGGCGACTAAATGCATACGCTAGCTATTTTTGCACAAATACAATCATATCGTTTTAAAACCCTAACATTCTATATTCATGAACAGTTTGTTGTCAAAGTTAAGATTTTGTACTCTTGCTATTTATATACTGTTGTTGAACTATGGCGTGGTTTGTAGATCACTGGACAGCAGAAATCGATGTAATAAATACTGGCCATTACAGCGTCTTTAAATTAGTTCATGATTTTATATTAAAATTGGTACACATCTATGTGCTTTTGATGTGTACCTCTTAAGAGACCATAAGGACTTTGATGGTTCTTGCTCGCACGCCTGCTATGACAGGAAACTACTCGGTAGTATAGTCGAGTTGTTGCGATCAAACTAGACAGTTTAGTAAAAAAAGAAATACACCGAAAAAACAATTAGGATCGTAATTGGGTTCATAATTCGGGTTCAATAGGACTCGTTTTCGAATTCGAAAAGGTCATGTCCTGCATGTATGTCTAGTATAGATAACGTCTGTAAAATTGATGATTACGTGAATCAGCCTAGATAATTATAGATAAAGGTGTGCACAGACATCATGTGGCTGCATCTCGATGTCGTTTATTTACATTACAGCCAATATATAAAAGTTGTATGCGAAACTAGCAGCAGCAGCATAAATACCCCAAGGATTATGTAGGGACGATTTGCAATTATTGCATTTTTATTATAATCCCTAAAGCGTTTCTTGGTTCTTGACTTATATGATTCCATATCCTGGCAGATTTAAAAAAACCAGTCTGTTTATTGTAATGTGTACAAAAAAATTGTTTGCAAGGTATATCTGTAGCAGGGAGTACGTCTTTTAGAGGCGCTAATCCATTCGTACCTAAGCAATTGAAAAACGCAGACAAACGTGTTTTTGCATCACACCTGTACAATTAAAACACTGTTTGTACTATAATAACAAGATTTTGTTGTTCTCTTATGCGATCCTTTGTCGTCATCGTCTTACTATTACTCTCGACACATTATGCCGTTCTTTGTTTTTTTTTTCGTTTGTTATTATGTCGTACGTTACGGTCTGATTGTCGTTGTGGTACTTTGCTGTTCTTCCCATCTTAACTAAAACCGTAATATCTGTTTTTTTACGATCGAACCAAGCGCGATTGGAGCAAAATAAAATTCCACATAGTAAGACAATAGATAACTGTACGACCCGTATTTCTGCTATGTTACTACCGTAGTTAGCGGAATATATAAGAAAATAGAGACCGTTAACCCATTGACCATCAGGGTTATTTCCCTTATTAACGTTGTTATTGTCATCATAACTAACTAAAAAATAACGATGATCATATTTGCAGGATCGTCAAGACGCACTTCGTCAGGAAATACTGACATTTTAGCTTTGTACTGGTTTCAATCGTGCAAATCTTGACTCTCCCCTTCGAATCAGCTACCGCCGAATTTTTTTTCAGTATTGAAACTTTTATAAGAACACAATCGTAACAAAAGGCAAAACGCTTGCAAATACAAGGCCAACGTGGGGATGCCAAACGAGAACGAACAGGTGCGCATGATCCCGCCTTGTCAGCGTACGAATCAGCCTTTAACCGATCAAAGTTGGGTTATGCTTTATTGGTACTATTTATGATATAGTACTCTCCATAGAAGGTGTATGTGTAGACTGAAGGTCACATATCGACAGTGCACAATTCGAGATGTCGCCGAGTGCGCTAGTAGTTCTAATTTACATCGAGTTTTGACTATTTTCGGCTGAGTTCGATCGACGATGGCCGACAGCGATCTGAGTGTATTTTGTTTGAAATACAACGAAAAATGATGTGGCAGTGTGGGAGGTGACGAGCTCTTGGAGCAACTGGAGGGACGAATGCACAGATCTCAACATACGTCCGTATAATGTTAGTAACGGAAAACGGTGACAGAAACACGTGTCGAGGAGAATGGATATATAGAGGCGGAAAACGTTCGGATGCCACTTCGGTTCTACCGACGAGCTGTTTATTGAACCTATCGTGTTCCCGTACGAAAGAACGATAACATCGTTATACTATATGTATATAGAACAGCACATAATCGGCATGGCAAAACATATAGTACTAGGGGGGGGGGGGGGGTCACTGTTTTCACTGATGTTTGTACGAACTCTTGCCGCTTTCTTGTGCATCGTCATTCAGCATGAAGAAACCAAAACCGTACGAGAATATAACGCTATAGCTGAAGGCTTTTATTAACGCGATGCGTTTTTACTGGTTCTAGACCAAACTTGCCGAAGGCAACTGATGCAGCCAATAACAACGAAACTGTATTCTTTCACGCACTCATATTGTACGTCAAACGCATTAAGGACAAATGCTGTCGAAAAGGCGGCGAGAGCCTAAATTCCAATCGTGCGCAACACATGCGGGCTTTCATGATGGAATATCGGAAAACATGGAAAAATTCTATATTTTGTCAAAAGACTGCTGTGGTAGTATCATATTTTACCTCACCGTTCCATTGAGAACTTGTTCACCGTGAAGACTTTTTACGGCGGGCTTTTAAAGCGAGAGGACGGGTGGCTGACTAGATTGAGGGAACGGTGAGGTAGCAAAATTTACATAGTGGTACGTTCCTCTCTAGTTTGTTGTAACGCAAATATCCGCGAATATTGCCTTCGCCATCTTTGAAAAACATAATTTTGGGTCCGTCATACGAGTAAAAAAACGGTCCAGATGCGCATATAGAGCGAACAAACGAAAAATGATCACGTTATTTCCTTTGGTCATAGACAATGTCAACACGGTGTTTGCACTCTGTACCCGTCTGTTCTGTATGACAAAAAATACATACACATTAAGATAATAGAATATATATATATATATATATATATATATATGTCGATTACAATTATTTTTCAATTAGCCATTTTTGTTTAGACCCAGAACATGGCAGAGCAATACTATTTTCAACTTAAACGTAACAGGAGTAACAACGAAACACGAAACTATTGCTGGCCTGTACGTTACTAGTTAACCGTTTCGTTGGGATCCATAAGCGAATGCCAATGTTGATCTGAGGTATGCCAATTCCTGAGGTATGTTCTATGTCTATTAGTAGGTAGAACGACGTAACATTTTACGATAGAACATTTACTAATAAGCAGTCGTAGCCTGACTGATTCATCTCTAGCGCATATAGTCTCATTTCAATGAAGAAACCCAAGGTAATTTTACCTCACATGCTAGTCGTTTTAAATCCAGTTATAATAGGAAAGCAAAAACCAGGAAGGAATACATGTTGCATCTACGGTGCACATGTAGCCACATTTTAACCGTTTATCCATCGAACCACAAGTGTCAACGATGGCATAGACCTGATCACGTGTCAGAGTGTGGCAAATATGGTCTGAGGTCGGACGCAGTGCAACATCTGGTATCGAAGTGGAACACAAAACACCGAGCAGAGGAAGGGAATGCCCATCACTGTTGGACAAATGGGGTAGACGCCATCGCTACTAAATTGAAAAAAGAAGGACTGACTAAAGGCCGACGCCGGGAAAATCGATTGAGCTCATCGCCTAGTTAAGTAGGTTAATGTACGGCACGGCTGTTAGAGATCATACCGCTACTACTAATACAGATTGTCGATCGTTCAGGGTATCTATCAACATACCCTATCACTAAATTCTTTTTCAGCTGGAAAATCCATATTTATTTTCAAGCTTGGATATTTGGAGCTTTTCCAATGGGAAACCGGACCTCTGTGAGTACGAGAATGGCAAGCGTATAATCTTGCAGCGTTTCACCTATTACCCATTGTGTCATTTCAATTGCAATAAAGCGTATTAGATCCAAAAGGTTTCAACCAGACAGTTTTGTTCATGTCGAGTGTGCGAAAGCCAGGAAGATTTTATTAATCTTCCTGGCTTTCGCACACAGGCGCCTAACTACTATCGGGGTGGGCGATTGCACACTTATTTGTGGGCCATTTAGTATCGTTGTCGTTCATACCACTCGGTTGACTGGCGGTGAGCCAGCCGTAAAACTCGACACTATCAAGTCTATGGAGAACTTCATTTTCAGAAGTAAATTAGGCTAAAGACAGACGTACGTAGTAAACGAAACGATCGTGATACTAAACAAAAAAAACAAGGGATTTTCTTAGCAGCAACAATAAGGATGAAAATAATAACAATCTAATACTAATCCATGAAGTAGAGAGGAATTTTGTGCCCGTCTGTCTTGCCGTAACCGTCATAAAAATATAATAATGTCATTGTCTAAGGAGATTAGCATTGAGAGAAGACGATGGAGAAAAGAGATTATGTCTGCGGCTTTACGGCGGCTGAGGTCGGTCTTCTGGTATACGGATGACGACTTTAAAGAGCCGGTACTGTTACCAAGGGCGAAAACGTCCAGAAGGTTAGACGAAAGAAACGCACGAACGTACGATATAATAGGGAAACTATTTGCGACTATAGCCGGGAATTGATGTTATTCTCTTTGAAGTTTTATACGATACAACCGCGATGATGTTACGCTAGGAGCTGTAGGAACACATGCTGCCTGCATTACGGAGAGCTGAGCGGTTGGTCCCGTTGTCGAAAGATCGTAGGCCATTTACTTGAGTAATTTCACGGTAACATATAAGTAGAATACATAATATAAAGCCCTTGAGGCGAGGTCTTCAGCTCATTGCAACAAGCTATATGGCAAATTGCTTTTCGATTTAAAGAACTGCCTTCGTGGGCTTCTGGGGGCAAACGAATACATATCGAACATCCACTAGGATAAAGCCATTTTTTCTCTAAAACTTTAAAGGTATGTTTCTATGTACATGCAATAGCTTCACTCGAAAGTTCGAGGCATGGACGCCAAAAGTTACTTCAGTATGAAATAGTTGGATGGTAAGTTTATGTCTGTCTGTCGTGTTCAG